CTGTTTGCAGAGAGATGAAAACTAGCACCTCACTGTTGACCGAGAGATCTATGGTGTTTACACTTGTAGATCTCTCTCCTGTCAGCTGCTCCTTTTTGATCAGAGTTTCGGCCATGAATCGCTGGGCTGGACCCAGGGATTGACACCTATGGGAGCCAATGACCGTGCGGGGAGGATGGCGCACATGCATGTCCCCTACCTGGAAATGCAAAATCACGTGTGTGCGTGTGTGTGAGATTTTGCGTACAGCGGCCGCCCTGTAGCAGTAAAGCTGCTATAGGGCAGGAAGTGGTTAATATATAGAAAATTAAAGAGAAACTAAATTCTAAAAGTTGTGCCCCCCTCAAAAAAAAAAAAAACAAAACACAGCTTGAAGGACACGGTGCAGTGTTGCCTGTAGTCTCACTTTGTCTGATATTTTCCCCATTACTGACTTGCCATGCCTCGTTCTGCACTGTCTGGGTGGAGGCTGCCATCTTGGTAGAGGCAGGGCTTTGCATCCTAATGTCAGAGCCTCAAGCAAGGAGTTAAATGAATGGCACTATAGTATTCTAACCAAATCTTCTGAGACTAGCAGTTAGAGGCAGCAGGGCCTTGGATCTCACACTGCAAAGCTATGAGCCAGTAAGCACAGGCATGCCTAGGCACATATACATACTAAGAAGTGCAGTGATATTTTTTGAAGACATTCTAAACAAAGGATATCCTTGTCGGGGTACTGCTTAGGCACAATTAACATTTCTAGGCGTTCACTATAACATGTTAAATCTTCACTTTTTGAGTTCAGGCCCATTTTAAGTTAATGCAAAAACACTCTGTCCCCTCACAACTAGAGATGTTTGCTGGCTGTTTACAGCTGTTCAGGACATGGTGTGTGTACTGAGAGCATTGTGTGAGCTGCCGGTGTTGACCTCCCCTCTGGTCTCTTTTTATCAACTTTATTGCTTTCACAAGGGATGAACAACATCCCTTGTGAAAGCATGGGTCATGTCAGGTCCTCTTTATGGAGAAATTTGGGGATACCCCAGATCTCTACTCTGTTCTCCTGTGCAGCCGATCAGACTTAGATCGGTCCAACTGTCTGCTTTCCTGGCCGCTAAGGGCCAGGTAAAGAGCCAAAACCGGAAGTAACTATATAATTATCGCTTCCGGTTTACGGGGTCACAGACCGGGAGGAATTATTATTATTATTATAATACAGTATTATTATACAGTATTTATAAAGCGCCAATAGTTTGCTCAGCGCTGTACATTACAAAGGGGGACAGAACATGTGACAGAACAACAATATAATGCAAAACATGAGGGGATCGAGGGCCCTGCTCTTTCAAGCTTACAATCTAGGAGGGAGGGGATGGTGGCACAGGAGGAGATAGCTGTGGCGATGGGGTGGTAGGAAGAGTGGAGGAGGTTGGCAAGTTAGCAGGGGGTGGGGTAGGCTTCCCTGAAGAGGTGGGTTTTCAGGGTGTGCCTAAAGGAGAGGAGAGTAGGTGATAATCTGATGGGTTGGGGCAGGGAGTTCCAGAGGATGGGTGACACCCTGGAGAAGTCCTGGAGGCGGGCATGGGAGGAGGAGACCAGGGAACTAGAGAGAAGGAGATCTTGTGAGGAGTGGAGTGTGCGTGCTGGGTGGTACTTGGATATTAGGTCAGTGATGTAGTTCGGGGCAGTATGGTGGGCGGCTTTGTACGTCAGTGTTAAGATTTTGAATTTGATCCATTGCGCAATCCGAAACCAGTGGAGGGATTGGCAGAGGGGGGTGGCGGAAATGGAGCGGTTGGAAAGGTGAATGAGTCTGGCAGCCGTCTTCAGGATCGACTGAAGCGGGGATAGCCAGCGGCGAGGCAGGCCAGTGAGGAGGGAGTTGCAGTAGTCGAGTCGTGATATGATGATGGAGTGGATGAGCTGTTTAGTGGTTTCTGGGGTTAGGAACGTGCATATTTTGGCAATGTTGCGGAGGTGAGTCTGCACAAGCTTGTTAAAGATTGGACTTGGGGCTGGAAGGATAGGTTGGAGTCCAGAATGACACCAAGTACTCTGGCCTGCGGGGCGGGTTTGATGGTGGTGGTGTTGGATGTGATGGTGAAGTCAATGGGGGGTGGTGTCCAGGCTGGGGGGGAAGACAAGAAACTCGGTTTTGGAGAGGTTCAGTTTAAGGAAGTAGAGCGACATCCAGTCTGATATGTCGCTCAGTAGGTGTGTGATTCGGGCAGAGACTGAGGTGGTGAGGTGGGGGGTTGAGAGATAGATTTGTGTGTCGTCAGCATATAGGTGGTAGTTGAAGCCGTGAGAGTGTATGAGTTGGCCAAGGGAGGAGGTGTAGATGGAGAAGAGAAGGGGCCCGAGGACGGAGCCTTGAGGGACCCCAACAGAGAGGGGGAGTGAGGGGGAGGTGGTAGCATTATAGGTAACACTGAAAGAGCGTTGTGACAGGTAGGATGAGAGCCAGGAGAGAGCAGAATCTCTGAGGCCAAGGGAGTGTAGTTTTTTGAGAAGGAGGGGGTGGTCGACTGTGTCGAAGGCTGCAGAGAGGTCAAGGAGTAGGAGCACTGAATAGTGGCCATTAGCTTTGGCGGTTAACAGGTCGTTGGAGAGTTTAAGTAAGGCCGTTTCGGTGGACTGTGGGGGACGGAAGCCGGACTGTAGGGGACAACGGTTGTTGTGGTTGAGGTGAGAGCTTAGGCGGGTGTAGACTAGGCGCTCAAGGAGTTTGGATGTAAATGGGAGCAGGGAGATGGGTTTGAGGTTGTTCAGGTCATTGGGGTCCAGGGAGGGCTTTTTAAGTATGGGGGTGATGTGTGCGTGTTTCAGAGGGGAGGGGAAAGTGCCGGAGGAGAGGGAGAGATTAAAGATGTGGGTGAGGGAGAGCGTAGGATGGAGGAGGAGGGAGGTCATAGGAGTTGTGAGGGGATAGGGTCGAGGGGGCAGGTGGTGAGGCAGGCATCAGAGAGGATCTTGGAGACTTCTCCTATGGTAGTAAGGTCAAAGGTGCGGAGTGTTGGCGGGGCTTTAGTATGAGGAATGTAGAAATGACATAATTTCCTCTGTCTGTGTATTGCTGCTGGTCACAGCAGTCTGTGATCAGACGAGAGAGCCTGGGAAAGAATACGGTGGGAGGGGGCATTATGCTGCCACCCACAGAAGTGATCGAGTGGCTGGCTTTTCAGCAACTCAAATCACTTCTGACAAGAGGAAATCGCTGGCTGAAACGTTTGATATTGGGATGATGCCTGCAGGTGCTGGTATCTTCCCGGTATAGCCACTTCAACTCAAAGATGTCCTATGATGTCCTAGGGGCAGGAAGTGGTTAAAGGATAAGTTCAGCTTTTGTAAAAAAAAATAAAAAATTCACATCATTTTTGCAAGTATGGGCAGGGAGAATCAATGGACTGTGAGAGCACGCATAAGTGCCCTCGCAGTTCATTGAGAACTACAAGCTGTTAGCCACAATGGCTGACAGTATTTGTCTAATTCATTGACAGGAAACTAACTGTGAATTAATATTGCAGCCCTGTGGGCAGAGCGCCGCATGGCTGTGCTGTTTTCAGATTGTGACAGCAGGTGCAGGGAGAGGGGGAGTGCTGGAGACCAGAGGTCGCTGCATAGGAGCCTGTTACATATTGCACCCTAAATATGGCTGTAACATGCTCCTAAAAAGTGAACTAAGCCTATATATATATATATATATATATATATATATAATATATATATATATATAATATATATATATATATATATATATATCCTATAAAAAAAGATAAATTCACTTTGTAGGCACCAAATGCCTTTACAAATCCAGTTATTACCTTGCAAACATTGCAGTCACATCGCTCTGCTTCGCCTATACTGAAAGCAGAGCTGTTAGGAGGGACCCAGCAGCTCCACTTACTATAGGTGATCTATAGAAAACAAGGGGGGGGGGGTCACCCGTCACCCTGCACAAAGAGAGGACAGCAGTTACCGATCTCTATTACAGAAAGCCTGTAATACTGGATTGTTGCACAGATTTTACAAAAGTACACAAAGAAAACCAAGATCCTAGTAAGAATAAGCTGCCTCTTACACCTAGGCAATATTTTTAATGCCAGAATTCAACTCTAAGAAAATTCCTTTCATCTGAACATTGAATCATCAAAACAATATCACTATATGTAGAAAATACTGAAAGAACATTGTAAACTTGCACTAGGATGCAAAAAAATACCCATTGTTTAAGTTGATTGGTGACATCTCATGACTAGCGTATCTACACCGAAACAAAAAGAAAGAAAAAACCATTTCAGCGGACCAGTACTTAGATGAGGTAGCTGCTTTAGTGTTCTTTCGAAGGGTTTTTTTTTCCTTATTTTCACCTGGTGATCTAGCCAATAACACACTTCCTGCCTTTTTTTTTTTTTTTTTTTTTTTTTTTTTTTTTCGGTCTCTTTTTGAGATGCAGGTTTTACATAAATGAATAAAAGCTCCCCTGTCAGTGTTAAATGGTTTGTCTCAACCTTCTAACTGCCACTTTTACCAGACTAGTTTGATATTTTAAAGGATGTTGGAAAAAATACGACTTGCTGGCCGGATCACTATGTAAAATAAAAGAGGGGAAAAATGCCACCACATCTAAGAATTGGTAAGATGCAATATATTTTTCGGAATTATCACTTTTAATTTGATTTAAATACTACATACACCATTCCAGTGTCAGCAGTGGATTTTTTAAAGCATCAAAAATATGGAAAAATTATTTAGTCAAAAGGAAGTACTAGAGAAAAAAGTTGTTTCTGATTCCCATGAGCATTCTATAATAGACATATGGGAGTTCTGGCTTGCAGCATGCAGTGCACAGCTTGCATAGTATTCATCTAAATGAGAGGATTACTATAGATAATGTATGCCTTATTGCAGTTGATAGAGAAGACTGTGATCTTATTCTTGTACATTGATCTAATATAATTGGTATTTGCTTTGAATGGCAATAAAAATATTGTACAATCTCTCCAATTTTTTAATAGGTATAAGCGATCAAGACCTGGAAGATATTGGGAATGATGACCTAGAGTCAGATTTACTAGATGGAGGTAAGCATTTAATAAAACCAGTATTTAAGTTTTATGATATGTAATAGAAAATGTGTTTAATTGCCCTAATTCATAAATGCAAATATTATTAATGTGAAAATAAAATAAGTGATATACAATAATGCTACTAAGCTGAATGTCCAAATCCACAAGTGAAGTCAAAAAATATTAAAGTGCCAAAAACGAGGATGTGATGAGTAGTGTACCACTCCAATGAGAGCTATGAGATACAGTGAAGGAAATAAATATTTGATCCCCTGCTGATTTTGAATGTTTTCCCACTCACAAAGAAATGATTAGTCTAAAAAAAATCGAATGGTAGGTGTATTGTAACACTGAGAGACAGAATAGCAACAAAAAATTCAAAAGAAATGCATGTCTTACCCATACCAATGTGTCTTAATCAAATAAAAAGCCACTTTGTGTCGCGCTCCACTGTTCATATACACACAAATCAATAAGTGCAAGCCAATAAAAAAATATAAAAATTAAGTCCTAACATAATTCCACAATGTGATATTCACAATCACACTAGTGCTGCATGCATATCTTCATACAAAAAAATCCTCCGAAGAAATCCTCAAAAAATAGTCTGTGGTCCTATAGTGCCTTCTATAGTGTATTACAAAAATTGATTAATATTGTCACACCAAATATATACACTATGCTCCTTCACCAGTTGTGCTCTCACCTGACGTATATGACCAAAAAAAATTTAGTCTGTCCAAAAGGAGAAAAAAGTTATTTCTGATTCCCATGAGCATTCTATAATAGACATATGGGAGTTCTGGCTTGCAGCATGCAGTGCACAGCTTGCATAGTATTATCTAAATGAGAGGATTACTATAGATAATGTATGCCTTATTGCAGTTGATAGAGAAGACTGTGATCTTATTCTTGTACATTGATCTAATATAATTGGTATTTGCTTTGAATGGCAATAAGAATATTGTACATTCTCTCCAATTTTATAATAGGTATAAGCGATCAAGACCTGGAAGATGTTGGGAATGATGACCTAGAGTCAGATTTACTAGATGAAGGTAAGCATTTAATAAAACCAGCATTTAAGTTTTATGATATGTAATGATTATTATTATACAATATTTATATAGCGCCAAAGGGTTTGCTCAGCGCTGTACATTGTAGTGGGGGACAGAACATGAGACAATACAGTAACAAAACAATACACGAGGGGTTCGAGGGCCCTGCTCCTTGGAGCTTACAATCTAGGAGATGATAGAAAATTGTGTTTAACTACGCTAATTCATAAATGCAAAAAATATTAATGTGAAAATAAAATAAGTGATATACAATAATGCTACTAAGCTGAATGTCCAAATCCACAAGTGAAGTCAAAATATTAAAGTGCCAAAAACGAGGATGTGATGAGTAGAGTACCATTCCAATGAGAGCTATGAGATACAGTAAGGGTATCTCTCAGAAAGTTGATCCTAAACCAAGTAACACCATGCAAGGCTTACCAGATCTATATGACTTAATTTTAGAAAGGTCAATATGTGCCCTAATTGCAGGTCAACATGGCAGTCTTATTTAACCACTTGATGATCGGACTATAGCCGAATGACGGCTACAGTGTGGTCGTCTAGTACTGGTAGGGCGGCATATGACCTCCTTCAGAACCATTCCATTCCGTATACCCCCTGGGGCATGCACCTGGCGAGCTCTGTGATCGCTGTGTCCATCGGACACAGCTGATCGCATGACACAGTAAAGGGCAAGTCACAGCGCCCTTTTAACACATGATCAGCTGTGTCGAGTGACACAGCTGATCACAATGTAAAGTAAATACAGTTGCCGGTTATCGGCTGCACTTTCCTCATTCTGTCACAGCGTTGGGAAAGAGGAGAGCCGGTAATCGGCAAGTATATTGAAAAAAAATTAGAGACAGTCCAGTGCAGCCCCAACAGTGTCAATCAGTGCAGTCCCAACAGTGGCCATCAGTGCAGTCTCATCAGAAAATATCGGTGAAGGAGAAAAATTACCTGTTTGCATAATTTTATAACAGAAACTAAGAAAAAGTTTTTTTTTTTCATTTGTTTAGCAAAAAATAAAAAAAACCCAGTCATGATTAAATACCACCAAAAGAAAGCTCTATATGTCTCCAATAAATTATAACAATGTGTACAGTGTTGCATGACCACAAATAGTTATTCAAAGTGTGACAGCACTGAGAGCTGAAAATTGGCCTGGACAGGAATGGGGTGAAAGTGCTTGGTTAAAAGAAGTAAAAGCGCTTGTAAACATCGGGTGGTAAGCTCAAAGTGGCTTCCCACAGACTTCTGGTTGCACAATGACATCACTACAGGCTCCTCTCCACGTTTCATTGCATTTGACAGCCTTTGGGTCAGATGTGATGAATCGCATAGGTTAGAGCTCGCTGTGGCGTCAATGCACAACTGGAAGTCTGCGGGAAGCCATTTTGATGTTGTGGATTTGGACATTCATGTATATCACTTATTGCTTTATTTGCACATTTAATATTATTTTTTTCATTTATGAATTGGTGCAACACAATTTTCTGTTCTGTGATAATATCTCATACTGTGTTTGCAGCTTTTTCTATTTTTTAATTTTTGGTTTTCTGTTTACCAAAGCGTAGTTTATATATTTAATTTGTTTTGATGTTGGGTATTCATGAAAATCATTACATATCTTTTTATATAAGAGATGAGATTTTTTTCTTGGGTTACAAAGCCAGTTATCTCTAGGTTTTGGGGTACCCATTTGCAAGCACATTGCAGAACCGGTCCCAATGTCTAAATAGATTTTACATCCAGGTATGCAGTACTGAAGCTTTTTTAAAGGGCTTGGTTCATAATCAGTATTTTCATATCAAGATTTATTATAGTGCAGTATAAGACCTCATGAACGCAGATGCTTATTGTCATGGATCCACGGTTGCCGCCACCAACATGCGATAATCGCACGACCGTGACTAACAGTAATACGTCACGCCCACGGCGTCAGACCCCAGACCTCACCAAACTCGTGACCAAAGGACCGGCCGATCTAAAACCGTGGTGTGACGCGCGTAACAAGGCCCCACCCAGCTGCACCCCGCACAGGGATTGTCCAGCTAATGGGCTACAATCGGTGCCTGCAGCCTGAATGCGCTTGTTACTGGGTCGGGTTAAATACGCAACTAACCCTTCTACTGCCACCACAGTCTTGAAATGTACAGAGAAGACGGACTCTGTCAGAAATACACTATAATGATTGAAAAGTCACCTGTCCAATATGGTCAATTGAGCAGGGAATAAACAAACACCGTAGCGTCTCTTCAAAAGGCAGGAATTTGTGAATTGCAGGTAAGTGCTTAAAAACAGTTTAACCCTTTCAGAAAGAAAGATTTATTACGAAAAGAGTCAAACAGGTGCAATAAAATATTTACAAAGAGATGTCACAAAAATATATATATTTGTATATAAAGACACAGCAAAGAGAGAATTAGGAAGAAGATTACAGGGTTAAGTTACTTGCCCTTAGCCTGGGTTTGCAGATCCAAGTTGCAGAGCAGGACGATTCTTTATCTCCTCCTTCGATGTTAGCTGGGAGATCTGTGTAAAACTCTAACTCTTAGGCTTGCAGCCTGTCCCTTTTTAAAATTCCCCCCCCCCACCCTGGCAAGGGGGGGTGGCTCTGCGTCTGCCCAATACAATATGTTGGGCAGAATGTCAGTGGACTCTGTTAAAACTAACAGCTTCATAATCCATGACATGAAACACACATTTGACCTGAGGAATGTTCAATTAATTGCTGGTCAGTTTTATGATGTGTGGGCCTACACAGTTTTTGGGTGACGAAGGTTACCCTTCAGCAGACTGCCTGGCACCTGGACTCAGGATGTCTTAACCTGGTTGACCCACACCATCTGTCAGGAGATAACGTTTGCCTCTCAGGACTGCAGGGGGGTAGGGAATGAGGCTGAGGAATGAGAAATATCTTGAATAAAAAGAGAAAAAAGGGAAAAGGAGAACTCCGCTCTAACTCTGATGAGCTAGTTTGCTACACTTATAGGCATGCAGAATATTTTCAGGTGCATTTTTATGCCTGGGGAAGACAGCTGCATCCTACAGCCTTGCATAGTAATGAATGGCTGTACTCTAGCTATACACGAGTATACGCAGTGCCTGCATTAACACATGCATGAACGTATTCCCCTGGACATGGCTTTTGTGAATTCAGGGATTCTTTCCCTAACTTACACAAACATGGTGTGTACCCATGTACAGAATTGTATTACTGTGGGTGGCTGTACGCTACAGGTGTCTCTCCTGGATGCAGAGATATATGTCCACAGTTTACACTGAATGCCTGAAAGCATCTAATAGGCCTAGCATATTTTTGGAGGGTGGTTACAAATTTTTCAACCCCCTAGGCTCCCTTATTTCCCAATTGGTGATTCTAGTAATGATTAATTGCTTGTTGTCAGAAAATGCCTGTTCTCCTATTTTAGTTCATTTAGAAACTTGGTATCCTTTCAGATATCAGTGATCTAGAGGAAGCTCTGGATGATCATGAAGCACATCAGGCTGAAGATGGTAAGTTGTTTTTGATGTTATGACTGTGTAGAATTTTTCAGGCAGTTTTGCTATACATGACACATTTCACTTTTTATTTTATTTTTTTTGTGACTGCAGGCTCTGCTCTGCTTGAGAATAGGCAGAACAGTTGTAGGAACTAGATTGGGTTTCTATAGAGAGGGTAAATTCATTATTGCAATTTCCTCTTTGGGTTTGAGAACTGTGTCTAATAATCTCGCTATGGGTAAACTGTAGTTTTTTTTTCTTTGAATAAAGCTGATTGTTTCATCTTTTTAACTGTCGATGGGTGTTGATAAATCTTCAGATGGCATATCCCTTTAAAGATACTGGCTTTCCCCAATGTACAAAAATTTGGAGCCACTTACAAAGGTGATATACCAGTGATTTGATGCATAATGATATGAGCTTATATAGGCTTCATCACTGGTAAAATTTCTGTTTTGCAAAAAACAAGCATAGAAGGAGATGCAGCAGCCTAGTGCATTACCTTAAGATTGAATAAAAAAAATTCATTATACTTACAAAGGAAATACTGTAGGTTAAGTGTATCCACAATTTTCATCACACCTCCAGACACGTGTCCACAAAGTAGGTCGCGCATCTTGCATGTTTCAAGGGTGATGTCCTCTTCCACATAGCTCTGAGCCACTTGATTTCTTTTGCAGGTGGTGGGAGGGGAAATCACAACCCCCCCCCCCCCTTCTAGGCCCCCCTACTGGGCTCTCCATGCAATTGGGGAGCCAGGGATCAGATCCACATCAGTGCTGCTGAGTTATCATGGAGCTGGCCATGACCAGACAGTCCTCCTCCCTCTATGGCCTGGGAGTCGGGAAACAATGATATTTCCGGGTCTGGTAGATGTAAACACTGCCATCTTTTAGTTCTGGAAAGCAGAACACAAGTGTGTGTGTGTGTGTTTTTAATTTCATGCTTTTCAGGGTAGAAGAGAGATCTGGAGTCTTATAGAACCTAGATATCTACATAGAGAGGACCTGTAATGCCTTCTTTCTATCACAAAGGATGTTTACATTTCTTGTGATAGGATGAGTGATTAAAAAAAAAATTTAAAGGGACAAAGTAAAAATCTAATAAACAAGTGTTCATGCTCACGCACGAAAGTGAACGTATATTTAGGTCGCGCACACACATGTGAGGCATTACAGCGAATGTTATAGCAAGAACAATATTCTAGCATTAGACCTCCTGTGTAACTCTAAACTGGTACCCTGTAACATTTTTTTTAAATGTTGCCCATGGAGATTTTTAACTATCAAAAGTTTGTCACCATCCTATGAGGGTGTGCAGTTTTAAAGTGTGACATTTTAGGTATCTATTTACCTGCCATATCATCATCTTTTATATGTTAATAAAAAAATGAGTTTTATATTGTGTTTTTTTTGCATAAAAAGTTATTAAAGTGCATCTTTTCCCCAAAAAATTTTGAAAAATTGCTGGTCAATTACATGTGACATAAGAAATTGCAGCACTCACCATTTTATTCTCTTGGGCCTCTGCTTAAAATATATAGTTTGTATATTAGTAGTATAGTTTGAGGGGTTCTGAGTAATTTTCTAGCAAAAAAAAAAAATGCTTTTTACTTAGGGTTAGGAGAAAAATGTCAGAATCAACCAGGGCTGGAAGTGGTTAGGTTCAGCCTGTTATGTATAAACCAGCTTTAGTTTTTTGCACCATCCTTTTTGACTCGCACTGTATTTTATATAATAACATAGATTATGCATGATTTTGTATGTTTAAATAAAAAGACATTCAGATAATATAAATGTTTTCTGTAGATGAAGTGAGTGAATTTAATTTAGAAGATGCAGTGGAGCCCAGTGTTCACAAATCGCTGAATGCAGAGCCTGGTAAGATATTACTGAAAGATAGATTATGAAATTCTTTTCAGTTTATTTGCTTACACAGCAGTTAAATGCAAACTTAAATCAAATTTCATTCAGTCATAAAAATTAAAGATGATTGCTGATTAGTATGGGGTAGATTTACTAAAACTGGATCACTCAGTATCTGGTGCAGCTGTGCATGGTAGCCAGTCAACTTCTAACCTCAGTTTGTTCAATTAAGCTTTGGCAATAAAACCTGGAAGCTGATTAGTTTCTATTCAGAGCTGCACCAGATTTTGCACTCTCTAGTTTTAGTAAGTAACCCCTTGTGTGTCTATCCACGTTGCTGTTTTTTTTTAATTAGGTTAGTGTCTGATCTGCTGATCTTGGCCAGATCAAGCGAATCATTTTAGAGTGCATGGCAGATCCTTTAATAAAGAATGTTCATTAGTGGTTTTGGAACTTCAGGCAACTATTTCATTTTTTTTTTTAAGATAGCCAGTTCTTCATTTAGAAGGAATTTGGGTGATATAAGCATTCAAGTTTCTGCACCCCTCTGTCTATCATTTGTCTTACTGCTTAGACTCAGTTTATTAAACTAAGGCTAGACAACTATCTGGCAGTTTTGTATGTCCCTTTAATTCTGTAAAATGTATTTTAGTAGCTAGAATTTGATTCTAGATCACTGTTACAAATGGCAATCAGGCAGGCTGTTTATAGCAGAGGAGACATGCAATGCATCTTCTGCAATAAAATAAACCTACCTGCCTGATCACAGCGTTCTTCCACATGTGTGTGCCAGTATGACTTACTCCTGCACATGTACAGGAGCGACATCATCCCACAGCGGCCAATGAAGAAGACTGGCACCTAGAAGGAGATATCGGCATTGGTGAGGTACAGGGACTGTTGCAAGAAAAGTAAATTTAGCTCCAATTTTGTATACAGTATACCATAAGTAAAACATTTGGATGCTAAAAGATAAAACTTTTGCTTGCCTGTTTTCTTTTGGCAAATATTTTGTATACAGTGTATCTAAAACACAATTACAAAAATGAGTTCTATTGCAGTTTACCAATCTTTAAAGGTGGTGGCTGCATTAATTTTTTCTTTTTCATGCTTTCCCCTTTAATTTCATCTGAAAGTCATGCTAGTAACACATTTTGCTTCCTAGAGTGACAGCGCTCAATCTGCATACTGTGTATCTATGAAGAAGCAGCATTGTCACCCCTTTCCTCTTCTCCATAACAAAGAGGGGATGGGCTCTGTTGTCCTCAGTTAGGAACAGTTTAATTGATAATAGTTGAAAGAGGGCACACAGTTATCAGCTAGCAAGATTTCTAGAAGGATAAAGAGGTATACGTTTTTGCTTATTGAATAGATGTAACACAACCCTTTCAATGGTGTATTTACCAGACCAAAATGAACCAAATAAAGAGAAGTTTATTGTTGGAGATTACATACAGTTTAAGACTTCTGTTCCTATTCCATACTCAACCCTTATGTCTCTCTCTGAGCTTAGGATTGGTGGTATTTCACATTTAACCTGGGTGAGATAATGAATATGTAGAACAGTGATATCCTATTAAGTGAGTGGCATTTGTATCTTGAACTTTTAATGTTATGGCTCCAAAATGAATCGGGTTCTTAATTTAGTTGCAACTAACACTTTGTTTTGTGAAATGTTAAAAGCAAATGATGAGCCAGAAGAAGCAGAGCTGGTAACTGAAGAACAAGCAGATATCAAAGAGGAGATTGAAACTGAAGAGCAAGTTTTCGTAAAAGAAAGGGTAGAAGCTGTAGACCAAGAACCACCAGCCTCTGAAGACGACGATGATGATGATGATGATGATGATGTAGAAGACTTGCCGCTAACCCATGAAGGTGAAGCAGAAGAGCAAGAGCCTGAGGAGGAACGGCAAGAAGCTGACGAAGAGCCTGTGGTAGAGGATCCTGAACTAGAAGCTGATACGCCTGACTTGGAAGCAGATGAGGAGCCAGTTTATGAAGAGGATGAAGTGGAAGAAGTGGCAGCAGAGCCACTTGCTGCTGAGATAGCAGAAGAAATTCCTGAGCCTGTAGATGAAGAGATTCCTGAGAATGAAGAGCTAGAGGTAGCTGGTGAAACTGAAGCAGAACCTCAGGATGAATATGAGGATCATCAGGATGAAGCAGAAGTGCCAGAATATCAACAGCAGGAAGAGGTGGAAGTAGTAGAAGAGCCAGTAATAGAAGAGCAAGCGGAGGAGGATGTTGTGCCTTTTGAAGGTAATATTATATCTACATGTCATGCTAGGTAATAGTTATCTGTGCCTGTCATGACTACAGCGGAAGCAGTTTTTAGAAGTCAGTAACTTAGTCACTCAGTTTACCCCAAAATATGTACACTGGATGGATGACAGGATAAGCAATATTCTCTGAACTATTTGCAAATTCAAGAAAACAGCTATGTATTAGTAACAAGTAAAAATAACTGAATCCAAAGTAGTAGCTTGGAAATTTTTATAATTAGTTTTTTTTCTTCTTGGTTGAATAATTTTGAGCAATTTCACATTACCTACTTTTATATACTTATTTAGCCGAGTTTCTTTTCTTTTTTTTTTTTTTAAAGATTCTGGGAAACATAATTAGCCAGGATACTTAGAAGCTTGCTGCAAATAACAAACTTTGATTTAAAAGTAATCACGTGGGTAGGTTTGTATAAGTATGTGTGTGATCTTGCAATAAAAGTTTGAGCTTGGCAATGTGCTCCTTGGTGTGCTGGTGACATAGGTAAAATATGCTGTTCACCGTAACCAGTCAGAAGTTGTTCCAAAACCCTGGAAATGTGTGGTTCAAGCCAATGTAGTGTGCGGTAGAAATTTGATTTTTTTTTTATTGAAAGAGAGTAAAAGAACAGCTTGAACTATGCATACAGTATTTGTTTGTATTTCCTATATCTGTGTTCCCTCAGTTCTGTGTTTTTCTCGATTTCCTGCACATGGTAAGAAAGCAGCTGTGCTAACTTGTTTATACAGCAACAACTCGGGACCAGCTCACAGCCAGAACCCAACCAGGAATATATATAGTAGTGTTAAATGACTTTTGTTCTTTTAGCTTATAGCTTCAATCCCCCCCAGCCAGGTAATGGTACAGGTTACACTTCCAAAGCCGTGTTCTGTATGCTTGTGTAGAACTTGAGTAGCTTATAAATTTGTCAAAGTATGAGTTTGACCTTTCCTTTTTATTACAGGTTATATGTAGAGTAGATAAATCCAGGAGGATTGCGAATAATAATTGTACTTTCTACATATTGGATTAATTTGAGGTTTATATGTGAAGGTGTGTTGGTTTTTGGTGCTTAGGACTGATTTGTCCTAAAGTATTACTTTTAAAGCAAAATATTGCCTATATGGTGCTGTAGTTATTACTTGGAAGTTAGATACAGTTGTGACCAAAATTATTCAACCCCCACTGAAATTGAGTGTTTTGGCCAGTTTGACATTGCTTTTGATCATTCAGTCATCTTGCTTACATTTACATTAAAGAGGCACTTGTAGGTCAGACAAATATAACATAACAGTTATAATGAAATAACCACAAATGTCTTTTCTGTGCTCACAGCATTATCAGTTTTATTCAACCCCCAAGTGACATTCAATCTTAGTACTTAGTACAGCATCCTTTTACAGTTATAACAGCTTTTAAACGTGAAGCATAGCTTGACACAAGTGTCTTGCAGCGATCTACGGGTATCTTCGCCCATTCTTCATGGGCAAAGGCCTCCAGTTCAGTCACATTCTTAGGCTTGCGCACTGCAACTGCTTTCTTTAAGTCCCCAGAGGTTCTCAATCGGATTTAAGTCTGGTGACTGCGATGGCCACTCCAAAATGTTCCAGCCTTTCCTCTGCAACCATGCTCTAGTGGACTTGGAGGTATGCTTGGGATCATTGTCCTGTTGAAAGGTCCAACGTCTCCCAAGCCTCAGGTGTGTGACGGACTGCATCACGTTTCCATCCAATATCTCCTGGTACTGAAGAGAATTCATGGTACCTTGCCACGCTGAAGCTTCCCTGTACCTGCAGAAGCAAAACAGCCCCAAAGCATGATTGACCCTCCACCATGCTTCACAGTAGGCAAGGTGTTCTTTTCATCATAGGCCTTGTTCTTCCTCCTCCAAACATAGCGTTGATCCATGGGCCCAAACAGTTCTAATTTTTGTTTCATCAGTCCACAGAACACTATCCCACAACTTTTGTGGTTTGTCCACATGGCTTTTGGCATACTGCAGTCGACTCTTCTTATTCTTTGGAGACAGCAAGGGGGTACGCCTGGGAGTTCTGGCACGGAGGCCTTCATTACGCAGTGTGCGTCTTATTGTCTGGGCTGAAACTTCTGTACCCACATCTGACAAATCTTTTCTCAGTTCCTCAGCAGTCACACGGGGACTTCTCTCCACTCTACGCTTCAGGTAGCGCACAGCAGTCGAAGTCAGCATCTTCTTTCTGCCACGACCAGGTAGCGTTTCAACAGTGCCCTTTGCCTTGAATTTGCGAATGATGCTTCCTAAGGTGTCTCTTGGTATGTTTAACATCTTTGCAATCTTCTTATAGCCATTGCCCTTCCTGTGAAGAGAAATCACCTCTTCTCTTGTCTTCCTGGACCATTCTCTTGCCTTCACCATGTTTGTAACCACACCAGTAAATGTCTAGAAGGAGCTGAGTATCACAGTCATTTTAAAGCTGCCTAATTGGTGCTTATTATGCTTGATTGCTGCTCGGTGACATCCACAGGTGTTTTCAATACCTGATGGAAAGCACCTGTATGAACCTCTGTTCTTCAGAGTGGTAGTCTTTAAGGGGTTGAATAATTGTGGCAATGAAGAAACCACATAAGAACCATTTACTACTGTATTACATAAACAATTGATGTCATTTTAGTTGCATTTGGGTAGTTACAACGTCCTTGTAGGATTTGATTCTGAATACAATTCCAAATGTACACTATAGTCCCTAAACCCCTTTACAGCATTGGGGGGTTGAATAATTTTGGTCACAACTGTACCTCCAGCATTAAGCTGCCCATAGACATATCTAAATTCAGCCAGTTCAGCAGGAACCAGTCAAATATCAATTCATCAATTGACAGGCTGGTTGTACTGAAGTCAATCTATCGGTCAGCTTCAGTACAACCAGCTTCACTTAGTTGGCAGCAGTAATCATTGTATTCTGATAGCGGGGAAACCTCACCCTGTCAGAACATAATAGCACAGGGGTACTGAATTAAAATTCATGGAGGTCCAGTCAGTAATAGATTCTCTCAACAGAGGTCCGGATCACATCTTTGTGCCATGACTCAGATCCTTCACATTACAACCCCCATCTCCTCTTAGGTTCATATCTCTGTGGCTGGAGAATGTTCGTGGAATTGAACTCGTTCACCCACAGAGTAATATGCTGTACTTTATCAGATGTGCGAGAGTGCCATTAATTCCTAAATGCATCCTCACACATCGCCACCTATGGCACACTTTCCCACACACCAAGCAGCTTGGTGCAGCGTGATTTTAAAAGAAGGGTCAGGTACTTCTTCCCTGTCTTTCATTGAGGTAGGGCAGCACTTTAAAAGGAATGGGCTGCCCAGCCTGCGATGTGTGCATGCAAGTCCCTCCCCTTTACATAAAAATCTCTCTTCACATACAGTCATGGCCGAAATTGTTGGCACCCTTGATATTTTTCCTGAAAATCAAGTATTTCACACAAAAAAGGTATTGCATTAACACATGTTTTGCTATACACATGTTTATTCCCTTTGTATGTATTGGAACAAATATAAAACAGAGGCAGAAAAGCAAATATGACATAATGTCACACAAAACCCCAAAAATGGGCTGGACAAAAGTATTGGCACCCTTAACTTAATATTTGGTTGCACACCCTTTGGAAAACATAACTGAAATCAGTCGCTTCCTATAACCATCAATAAGCTTCTGACACCTCTCACCCGGAATTTTGGACCACTCTTCCTTTGCAAACAGCTCCAGGTCTCTCTTATTGGAAGGACACCTTTTCCCAACAGCAATTTTAAGATCTCTCCACAGGTGTTCAATGGGATTTAGATCTGGGCTCATTGCTGGCCACTTCAGAACTCTCCAGCGCTTCTTTGCCATCCATTTCTGAGTGCTTTTTGACGTATGTTTGGGGTCATTGTCCTGCTGGAAGACCCAGGATCTTGGACGCAAACCCAGCTTTCTGACACTGGGCCCTACAGTGCGACCCAAAATCCTTTGGTAATCCTCAGATTTCATGATGCCTTGCACACAGTCAAGGCACCCAGTGCCAGAGGCAGCAAAACAAACCCCAAAACATCATTGAACCTCCACCATATTTTACCGTAGGTACTGTGTTTTGTTCTTTGTAGGCCTCATTCCGTTTTCGGTAAACAGTAGAATGATGTGCTTTACCGAAAAGCTCTATCTTGGTCTCATCTGTCCACAAGACGTTTTCCCAGAAGGCTTTTGGCTTACTCAAGTACATTTTGGCAAACTGTAGTCTTGCTTTTTTATGTCTCTGTGTCAGCAGTGGGGTCCTCCTGGGTCTCCTGCCATAGCGTTTCATTTCATTTAAATGTCGACGGATAGTTCGCGCTGACACTGATGCTCCCTGAGCCTGCAGGACAGCTTGAATGTCTTTGGAACATGTTTGGGGCTGCTTATCCACCATCCGGACTATTCTGCGTTGCAATCTTTCATCAATTTTCCTCATCCGTCCACGACCAGGGAGATTAGCTACAGTGCCATGGGTTGCAAACTTCTTGATAATGTTGCGCACTGTGGACAAAGGCAAATCTAGTTCTCTGGAGATGGACTTGTAACCTTGAGATTGTTGATATTTTGCCACAATTTTGGTTCTCAGGTCCTCAGACAGTTCTCGTCTCCTCTTTCTGTTGTCCATGCTTAGTGTGGCACAGACAGACACACAATGCAAAGGTTAAGTGAACGTCTCTCCTTTTTATCTGCTTTCAGGTGTGATTTCTATATTGCCCACACCTGTTACTTGCCCCAGGTGAGTTTACAGGAGCATCACATGCTTGTAACATTCTTATTTATCCGCAGTTGTGAAAGGGTGCCAATACTTTTGTCCAGCCCATTTTTGGAGGTTTGTGTGACATTATGTCGAATTTGCTTTCTTTCCTCCCTTTTTTTGTTTTTGTCCCAATACACACAAAGGGAATAAACATGTGTATAGCAAAACATGTGTTAATGCAATACGTTTCGTGAGAAATACATGATTTCCTGGAGAAATATCAAGGGTGCCAACAATTTTCGGCCATGACTGTAACTGTCCCCCCCCCCCCCCCCCCCCCCCGTCCTTGGCTCCCCTCATTACTGTCCTCAGCCCTGCTATAATTGTCCCCAGCCCTCCCTATTACTGTCCTAAGTCCACCCATAATTGTCCTCAGCTACCACATAATTGCTCTTGGCCACCATTACTGTCCTCGGCTCCCCCCTCACATTACTGTACTCAGTCCCACCACTCGCATTACTGTCCTCAGTCTCCATTAATGTCCCCAGTGCCCCCCCTCACAGTACTGTCCTTAGCCCCCTATTAATGCCCTCAGCCCCCCCACATTACTGTCAGCCCCCCCCCTTACATTACAGTCCTCAGCCCCTCCCCTTACATTCCTGTCCTTAGCCCCCCCCCCCTTTACATTACAGTTCTCCACACCCCCCCCATTAATGTCTTAAGCAGCCTTACTTCACATTCCCTCCTCCCCCTCCCTCTTGTCCCTCTTTACACAAGAGAGCGAGAGGCACAGGAAGTCTGTACAGAGGACAGGAGCTGCAAGCTGGTGATTGGTTGCTAGGGCCAACCTAGCAACCAATCCGCTGCCTGAGAGCTCGGGAAGCAAACCCTCCGTGTTGAGCTGTCTTTCCTCCACTGTGGGCTACGAGGATGATAGTGGCGACAGCTGCAGGGCACAACAGGCTTCTAAATGGCAGGACCACTGTGGCCTGTGCAGGACAGCCAGCAAGTCCGCTGTGGCCTGCGGTCCGCCATTTAGTAATGCTGGCAATGGCACAACGGAAGAGATTTCCCCCATCAAAAGTGAATGTGTCGATGGAGGAAATCAAGCAATTTTTCAGTAACTCAGAAAATTGCTTACTGTATGGCACACCTTAAGACGGTTTGAATCTTGGCAAATTCAGCGGGGGACATTTGAAGCATCTATAGGCAGGCTGAATGTACCCAAATTGGTTGATCGATCATTCAAATGTACCCAAGTTGATCGGTTGGTTGGATTTTACATGCGATTATTGCTATCATAGCAGTAATTAATGTGTTCTCCCTGTGGGGATGGCTCCCCCCACCCCTCTGCCGGAGAACACAATGGCTCCAAGGGGGGGATTTCCCCATCATCAACACTGACTGTGTTGATTGGGGGAATCAAGTGCTTTTCTTTCCTGCAGCCCTTTGTTGCAAAAAAAAGAAAATTGCTTCATCTATGGCCGGCTTTACTTTCAGTCTTTCATAGACTTGCATACAATCTCCTCTCCTGTATGAAATTGCTTACCCTTAATTTTAATTTAATTCTCACAGTATGCATTAGCAGCTACAAGAAGTCTAACAGAGCCTGCCTCATTTTTTAACTGGAGGACTTTCATTCATTGGACGTCAGCTTTTTCAGTCATTGGGTCTCAGCATCACAGATGGGCATTACTTGGGGGAGTATACATGCAAATCAAGCCTGCCTAGGAATGCCAACTCCTCCAGACTGATATCCCAGCGTTTGCATCAGGGCAGAGGGTCCAGTGACAACAAATCCTAATTAAATACAGTTTACTGTCTGGTTGTAATAATACAAAATGTGAAAAGTCCAAGAGAATACATGCTCATGCAAAGCCCTTTAATTCCATATTTGAATAATTTTTGGCTTCTCCTACCAGGCATAGACATGTATATTCTGTACTGTTTGGGCATCATTGTCTATTTTACAGACCTGACATGGCAAGCACCACAAGATGTCAGTATTGTTTCCCAAATGTGTATATACTGGGAACAATGTACGAGGAGCAGAACAGAGTTCACATAAACCGCAAATGAGCTGGGAAATGTGGATGTCTGTTGTCTTTTATGAAGAACTCTGAAGCTAGTCCTACACTGTAAAATCTCTCTCATTTAGCAGACTTAAGGAAAGATATCACTCCATTACCCCATCCATGCGAAACTGTGTATATTCAAATATCTATTTGCATTATGCATTTCCTGACACTATATGTATTGGTCTTATTTAAAGAAAAAAATGACAGTTAATGTTGTATATAAAAAATCAGAAACGGAATGCAATCTCAGTGTAAATTCAGAAAAATTCTGTATGCCCTTTTATTACAGTTGGGCACGTGTGGGGAAAAATTAAAAAAGAAAATGTAGGAATTGTGTGCAGTGAGTCCCCCTGCTTAGATTACTATAGTTGTCGGAGATGGGGATAGGACTAGACTTTGCATGGCTCTGTTTTTATGTTCTGTGAAGTTTGACCCCTGCTTCCGAGGCCCAGTCTTCCTGCTGCTTTCTCAGTGTTAACTCATTATGAGAGCAATGCACATATATGCGTCAGCAGGATGAGTGGGCCTTAACACCTAGCCATCTCATGAGGGTTGCTGTCTTTTGCTGAGGTGCGCTATATCTGCATCCCCTGAACTGGCTGAACTGTCATCCAACAATTTACAGTCTACTGCTGAAGTCTAGGGGCTGACACTAGCCCAAAGCCTGTGAGATGCTTAGTGACTTTAGAAAGTAGCTGCTTATGCATGTATGATGTGACCATCTTCAGAATTAATGGAGGGGCTGCACAATTTTATAAGAAAACTGCTGCTAGATATTGAGAGCTTGATTAACTGTACCCCCTGACTGGTCATTTTAGTGGTACCTCATAGACATCAGTGTTGTCCAATTTGGCTGCGATGAGAACCTTATATCTGAAGAGGGTCAATTGCTCTGTATGTAGTTTTGTTTTTTTATATATTCTGGCCCTAATATTGGTATTTTTTGGCTGCTATTCCAGCACTTGAACTTACGCCTGAAGAAATAGATGAGCTTTTAACGAAAACACAAGGTGAGTCTTTTCCCTAAAATTAAAATTCTGCATTTTTTCCAGCCACGGCACTATCTTCATGGAGTTTGTATGTTCTCTCTGTGCTTGCGTGAGTTTCCTCTGGGTACTCCAGTTTCCTTCCACATGCCAAAGATATGCTGGGAGATTAATTGACTCCTGTCTAAATTGGCCCTTGTATGCGTATATGAATGTAACTTGGGGACCTTACATTGTAAGCTCCTTGAGCGCAGGGACTGATGTGAATGTACAATGTATATGTAAGTTATCAGCGCAATATAAATACCTATAATAGATAAAGGTAAATACATTGTTATTTAACCACCCCCCCCCCCCCCCCCCCCCCCCCCCGGGTGGACAGCATATGACATCCTGGGAGGGAAGTAGTTATACCGGACTGAGAGCATCATATCAGTATCAAAATTTTCAGCTCTCTCTCTGTGTGACCCCCAGAAACTGGAAGCGACGAGGTTGCAGCTCTTTGTTTACGTGGCCGTTAGCAGCCAGGGAATCAGCCAGTCAGACCGATCTGTGTCTGATCAGCTGCATTGGAGGCCATAAAGAAGACTTGTCATGACCCATTCTATCACAAGGGATGTTGTTCATTCCTAGTGAAAGCAACAAAATTGATGGGGAAAAAGAAAAAAGTTTGAAATAAATAATAAAAATAAAACATTTAAAGCGCCTCTACCTCCATGCTTGTGCGAAAATGTGAACATGTGCGCAAGTCCCGCATGCATATGTAAATGATGATCGTACCACACTTGTGATGTTTGCTTGCAAACGTCAGAGCAAGACCAGTAATTTTAGCTGCAGAACTCCTGCGTAACTCTATTTTTCGCTCCATAAGATCACCTGACCATAAGACGTACCTAAGTTTTAGAGGCGGAAAACAAGAAAAAAAATATTCTGAACCAATGGACTGCAGACATAGTACAGGAGACGACCAGAGACTGCGGACATACTACAGAAGATGACCAGAGACTGCGGACTTAGTACAGGGATGACCAGAGACTGCGGACACAGTACAGGGGATGACCAGAGACTGCTGCGGACTTAGTACAGGAAATGACCAAGAGACTGCGGACAGGGTGCAGGGGATGACCAGAGACTGCGGACAGGGTGCAGGGGATGACCAAGAGACTGCGGACAGGGTGCAGGGGATGACCAAGAGACTGCGGACAGGGTGCAGGGGATGACCAAGAGACTGCGGACAGGGTGCAGGGGATGACCAAGAGACTGCGGACAGGGTGCAGGGGATGACCAAGAGACTGCGGACAGGGTGCAGGGGATGACCAAGAGACTGCGGACAGGGTGCAGGGGATGACCAAGAGACTGCGGACAGGGTGCAGGGGATGACCAAGAGACTGCGGACAGGGTGCAGGGGATGACCAAGAGACTGCGGACAGGGTGCAGGGGATGACCAAGAGACTGCGGACAGGGTGCAGGGGATGACCAAGAGACTGCGGACAGGGTGCAGGGGATGACCAAGAGACTGCTGACCTTTGGGGAGGGAGGAAGGGGGGCGGGGGGGGGCAGGTACCTGAATTTGACAGGTACCCCGCTCCCACTTCCCCGGCATTGTCCTCCCTTTAGTGTGCGCACCCGGCTGACAGCCGGATGCCCAGTGCGCATGTGCGAGAAGCGCTGCGCTTTGATTGGTCCAGCGTTTTCTGGGACCTGTCGTGTCCCAGAAGACGCCGTACAATTCACAAAGCGCAGCACTTCTCGCACACGTGCACTGGGCACCTGGCTGTCACAGCCAAGAGCCCACACTAACGAAGCCAGCGCGGGAAGACTGTGCAGCGCTGGACCGAGGAACAGGTAAAGTCCTGCTGCACAGAAGAGCTGAACGGCCGGCCCGGTATTCTGACATGGCGGCGGTGGAAATACCAGACCAGCCGCTCCATATTCGCTCCATAAGACGCACTGACATTTTCCCCCCTTTTTTGGGGGGAAAAAGTGTGTCTTATAGAGCGAAAAATACAGTAGGTAACGTAGTTCGGCGCGTTCCATGGTCATATACAATTTTAAAGAGTGACATGTTTACTCAGCAGAACATCATCTTTTTATATTTTACCAAACAATTGGGTATTCATGTCTGTGTGCAATAAAATTAAAGATTTTATTTTTTTCCAAAAAAATTTGCTTTTGAAAAACCGCTGTGCAAGTGACATGAAAAATTGCAACACCCACCATTTTATTCTCTAGGGCCTCTTCTTCAAATTTAAATCAATGTTTGGGGAATTCTACGTAAGAGAAGAGAAGTGTCAGCATTGGCCAGGATAGCGAGGATAGTTAAAGTAGTATTAACCACGCTACAGCCAAATGACGGCTACATCGTTGTTGTCCAGTTCTGGGAGGGCGTCATATGACGTCCTCCCAGAACGCTAGCCCCCAGCAGCACGCACCCGGCGATCTCTGTGATCGCTGTGTTTTACGGACACAGCTGATCACGTGATGTGCTAAAAGGACAATCATAGCGGCCTTTTACCATGTGTTCAGCTGTGTCCAATGACACAACAGATCACCGGGTAAATGCAGTTGCGGGTTATCAGCTGCACTTTCCTCACACTGTCACACCATGAGGAAAGTACTGCTGATAACTGGCAATTGTCAGAAAACAAATCGGCACTGATCATCAGGACACTGATGATCAGTGTCTAGCAGTGCCACCTATCAGTGTTGCCTATTAGTGCCCATCATTGCTGCATATCAATGTAGCATAATCAGTGCCAGCTCATCCGTGCCACCTCATCAGTTCCGCAGCCTCATTAGTGCACATCAGTGAAGCAGAAAAATTACCTGTTTGCAAAATTTTATAATAGAAACTAAGGACAATTTTTTTTTTTCTTTTTAATTTTTTGCTCTTTTTTTGTTTTATAATGCAAAAAATAAATCACCCAGTGGCAATTAAATACCACTAAAAGAAAGCTCTATTTGTGTGAACAATTATAAAAATTTCATATGGGTACAATGTTGCATGACCACGCAATTATTCAAAGTGCAACAGCGCTGAATGCTGAAAATTGGCCTGGGCAGGAAGGGAGTACAAGTGCCCGGTAGGCAATGGTTAAATACTATCTAACAGTTTTATATATTGATGCTTTCATAACTTATTCCCTAGTGCACAAGTTACTAAATATGTGGACACAAACACTTACTTTTCTAACACCACTCCGCTGCATGCTCCATGTTGTGCAGCTCTGCTTTTCTGCACTTGTGGGAAGGGGACTGTATGTCCAGTGTCCTACATGCACTGTTTAGCTGTAGCAGTGCTATCATAGGGAGCTGATGGGAGCAGGAGAGTGGCTTGTTTTGTGTGTATGTATGAATGGACACACAGCATCACTATAGTGTTAGCAGGTGGGTCACGTGCAAGGATAGCTCCATAGATCCCTGCATGGGAAAGGAGATACCCTGTGTAAAGAAAAGAGGAGACGCTGAGTGGATTAGGTGATTGTGGGGAAAAGAAGCTGCATATGCTTGAAGTATTATTGAATTCACACATAAAATACATAAGACTAATATTTCAAGATTTTGCTATTAAGGGTACCGTTTAATTATGGTCAGCAGGTCATGAAGACAACTCAACCGGAAGTTTAATCTGCTTATATTTTACATTCCTCCCTTCTCCCCGTGAGAATGCCATTGAGATTGTTGCTCTTCACAAACGTCTGTTCCTTTATGTAGCACTTTAGTGATCAAGGGAATAAGGAGCAAGGTCATATCATCATCTAAATGTTCTTGTAGTTATACAGTGCCTTGAAAAAGTATTCATACCCCTTGAAAATTTCTATATTTTGTCACGTTACAACCAGGTATTTTATTTGTAAAAAATTTTGAAAACCATTTATCATTTTCCTTCCACTTCACAAGTATGTGCCACTTTGTGTTGGTCTGTCACATAAAATCCCAATAAAATACACTTATGTTTTTGGTTGTAACATGACAAAATATGAAAACTTTTTTCAAGGCACGATACAGAATATTTTGTGCAAGCATGTGGAATTTCTGCACATTGCTATATGCTTTATGGATGTTACATTACTGTGACAGAAGACTGTGGGTTTGCTGGTGATTGATGGTGATTCTGTTGTCGTGGGAATTTGTCCTCCTACCTTTCTGTTCAGTATATTTTTATTACTGTGCAGCCCATTGTGGTACCAATACAAAACATACTCTTTTCATTGTTCTCCTTTTATGTGTGTTTTACTATGTAATCAAATATAATGGCGCAACGAAAAATGTGTTTCAATAAGCTATGGTAAAAATATGCATTGTAAAATGACGATGGCTTATTTTCCTTAAAAGCAGTATTTCCCTATTGAGGCACTATTTTACTTAAATTATACCTTGTGCATGTAATTACTGTAATAACTTGTAAATATCAGAATCATAACTTCTCTTTTATGAGCCAAGTTCCACCTCTGACATCCCTCCTTTACAATGCTGTGATAGATGCAAAGGGAGAGGCTGGTTGCTATGGGTTCCACAAACTACCTGATATGTGTTTTTTACCCTCGGACAGTAACATAGGAGACCCAATGTTTTCTCTGCCAACATGCTTATCATATCATTTTGTTATCAGCATCCCTTGTATTTGTGTGGATACAGTTCAAAAGCTTCATAATCCTGTTATTGGGATGTGAGACGCATGTATTTGTAAGGCTACATGTACACTGGAACTCCCCTAGATGTTAACTCTCCTGGCAGCAGAAAACTGCTAAACGTGGCAAAAACGCATGTAAACACAGTACTGCATTTAGTGCTTGGATGTTTATTCATTTCATTGGCCAGAGTATGTGCTATTAAAAGGAATAAATGCCCAAGCACTAAATACAGCTAGCAGTTTGGCCTCATTTACACACGCTTTTGCCGCCTTTGGCATTCCTCTCCTGAACGTGGTTCTTCTGCGTTCAGGAGAGGAACGTTTAGCTGCCCCTAAATTTCCCTGCTCCTAAACTTTGGTAAAAGCCTGTGTGTCCATGGACACATAGAATACAATGCTATAATGTGGAAATGTTCTGCCCTGAGCTCAGGAATGTAACATTTCACTAGAAAAAGGTTGTCCTATGAAGGAAGACACACTAAGGTCCCTTTTCACTTGAGCGGTTTTCAGTTTTTCAGACAGACACTACTGAACCCTTCATTCAGTTCTTTGGAGTGGTGGGTATAAACAGATTTGTGTTTATTTACACCCACCTACCTCCTATTTGAACAGAAGGGGATCTGTTCCCCTTCATCGAAGTGGATTGAATTGGAGGGCTGCCGAGTGAAAACGAACAGCCGGTCCTTTCACACCCAGCCTCCAATGGAGCAGAGTGGGCTATGTCCATGTTCACTCTGCATAAATGGAACAGACGTGGACCTGTCATCTGCCTGTTCTGCTCAGTGGGAGATTCCTTAAGTTTGGGAGTAAAAAGCCTGGGCACACTGAGTAAAAAGTGCCACTGTTAAGGGCTTTTTATTTTTTTAATTTATTTTTCAGCCTCTAAATGCCCCTCTATGTTGGCCTGTGTGACCATGCACACATAGGTGTTTACGGGTGTATTAGATAGTGTTTTTGAGGCTGAAAAAAAAAAAAAAATCAATTGTGCATCCAGGAGAAAAGTGTTTGAGCAGAAAAAATGCTGCATGATGCATTTAAACATGCCTAAACGCTGGGCTCGTTTTTAGCTCTTGAACATTTATGCATTTTAATGGCTAGAATACATGAATATTCTGGTCAATGGAATGCATGAATGCCCAAATGTCTGATACTTCAAAACATGTTTGCAAAATGCAGTTTTAGGTGCGGTTTGTAAGCTACTTTTCTCCTGCCAGGATAAAAAGCATTCAGAGGCTTGGCAAACGCCAAGTGTGCATGAGGCCTAAGAGCGTTTTCATGTTTTCACAATATTTCTGTGTGCCATTCTTAGAACAATCTTCTTCTAGTGCAGTGTTAGCCTGTGTAAAGAAAAAAAAAATTAAATCAACAAAAAAAGACACTAGATTTAGGTTCTAAATATTGAAAAGTATACATATTTAAGGCATTTGTTAAATGATGCATATTTTTAAGTGAATTGAATACTTTTGAGATAAATACCACATGAGTTGTTCTAAGGTAAAAATTCATGTAGTATTTATATTTTAGGGAACGTACCCCACACAATGAACACGTACAGTTAGAGACAGATGTCTGCGCTTGGTTGCTGCTGACTGTATCCAGGCCTGGACATCTGTCCGTAACCGTAGGCATTCACACTGTGTGTGGCTACATGCATATAGCAATGGCTGCTGTCAGATTTTCCTTGGTTTAAATAGGCTGACCGCCTGCTGCTGTTCGCATGCTCTGGTCATTTCAGCAGCAAGAATCTGCTGATTGTAAGCTCTAACGAGCTAGGCCCTCTGATTCCTACTGTATGAAATTGTATTGTAAATGTACTGTCTACCTTCATGTTGTAAAGCGCTGCATAGACTGTTGGCACTATATAACTCGTGTATTATAACCATCATAATAATGATTCTTGGCCCCTGTAATCCAATGGCTACATGAAAACGGCCATATAAAAGAAGCCTTATTCTTTTAAGAAAAACTCCTTTCCATGTTGCTTGTGTATGTATCCTCTGTAGTCAGCCACTTTCTGATCTCCTTTTACTGTAAATCTCATCAGAGAACAGGTGCTGCAGTTCCAAGCTGCTTGTAGTACTGTGTGCTTTAAGAGTATGCCTGCATAGCAGAATTCATGCCAAATTGTAATTGGCTTTGTTAAAGTGTTGAGTTGGAAGTGTCTTTTGCTTATGCTGTTAACCGTTACATTTGCGGTAGTTTCTGCAAATCAGACTGTTTCTCAACCTTTTTTTTTGCAACACTGGTATTGGTTCTTGTTGAGATTACAGCTATTGGTTTATTGGTGGTGTAATATTATGGAATCTGGCTTGGTCTAAGACTGGTAATGTCCTCGCTAACAGTCAATGGCAGCTTGTGTCATGGCTGCCTCATTATTTAAACTGCCTTTATACAATGTTCATTAATTATTAACTCTGCTAAATACATTCTAGGAGCATCAGAACAAATGGTGTTCAAAGTCATACAGTTTGTTGTATTCGGAAAATAGCCACATACCAGCAGAATGCTTGTTGCCAGCATGTTGTTGAGAAGGTCCTTACGCTGTATGGAAGCAATGATCTGAGTCAGATCTACAGCTCATTGAGCATGAGCTTTGCTGATAGCAGAGGAGTAGGTCTGACTGCTGTTCATGAAAAATAACAGAGTACTTTAGATTACAGTACTTGTGATGTAAACTTTGAAGATAGATTAAAATGTGCACTTTTTAGTTTCAGCATATTGATTTTGGGATTAAAATCTGTAGTTTACAGTACCTAGGGTCCCCTTTGCTTCCAGGGCAAACTACAATTTATGGGGCCCTATGGAAAAAAAACCTTTTTTCTCTAAAGTGTATAGTGCATCTCATTTTATTTAGTTTTGCTTTATTTAATTTAATTTCATTGTTTTTTCAGATGAGAAATTGTATGAAGAACATCAAGTAAAAGGTTAGTTTACGACTTTATTATTATTTTATTTAAAACCTGTATGCTACTAGAGGAAACGAATATTTTGAGCTTGTTTAAAATTAGGATCTGTGAAGAGATCCACTTTAACAGGCATACCAAGATGTATACAGTAGATGACAAATAGCCTGAAATACTTCCTTCCTAGAGAAAATGTTGTTTAGACTCCATTCAGAGCTGGTCAGATGACCAAAGATGTTAGGCATCATATCATGTAATCTCGTTGAAGGTGGTAAAAGAGATCATGTGATTCTTCTTCTTTTTTTTTTTTTTTGTGTGGGAGGGTTGTATTTTCTGTAATGTAAACAAGGAGTGCAGCGCTAAAATACAAATGAGGGCTAAATCAATAAAAATAAATGTAAATTAAAATAAAAATTTAAAAGTTCATAAAAAGTACTTATATTGATAGTGGTGATAAAGGATCCCAACCGCAGCGATATTCAAGTGCTTGTGCATGAAGGTGTAGTAAAAATGCGCACTCACCAGATTGCGCATTGAATATGCGCATATAAATATATCCAACATGGTCCACTTTAGGGAACGAGATATTTCAGGCGTGTGGTAAACTTCCTTCAGGGTGTTAAGCAGCACAGCAGAAACTCTTGGGCTGGGTAGGTGGTCAGCTCATCCAGAGGTCCCTTTTAAGGATGGATGGGTCTGCAGCCTGTGTTACAGGGATTCTCTACTCTGGGTGCTATGAGTTAACGCAGCATTGACCAAAATTAAGATGGCCGCCGGACCTTCACGAGGCTTCGGCAGTGTGACGTCACGGCGTGTTGGTTCCTTAGCAGGAACGTTAAATCGTTTAAAGGTTTTTTTGTTTTGTTTTGGTTTTTTTGTACTTGCCAATACTAATTACCGATACCTGCCAGCAACGGTTTTGTTTACACTTCAGCTGTCAGCAGTTGTTAAAGGGATAGTTCACCTTCACCAAAGAACTTCCTATGCAGATAAGGAGCCTCTGTGGATAAAAGCAAACAGTGTGTCCATCTAAAGTTGAATAATGTTCTTGCTATAGGTGTAGGCCATTTACATACCTCATGAAGCCTGGCTGGAATACTCCCAGGACATTGCTTTAGTGAGGCCTAGTCATTACTGCTCACCTCCACCATCACAGGAGTGAGCTTTCTCTCTTATTCAGACCCCTTCACATGCTCTATCTCTCCCTTGATGTAGTAGCTCTGAGCTCAGCATCTGAGAGCTCCTTCCTGTGATGGAGAAGGTGAGCAGTGACATGTAGGCCTCACTTGTCCTGAGAGTATTCCAGTCAGGCTTCATTAGGTATGTAAATGGCCTACATCTTTAATAAGGGCATTATTCAACTTCAGATACACAGTTTGTTTTTATCCACAAACGCCCCTTACTTGCATAGGCCCCTTACTTGCATAACTATCCTTTTTAAGGACACGGCAGCCCTGCTCCTTAACCACTTCGTCTCTCACATCTGTTCACCCCTTATGGACCACAGCAATTTTTACATTTTATGCTATGGTCCTGTTTATTTGGCAATAATTTTGTCATTACTTAAGATAACATGATACATTTTTTTTTTTTTTTTTTTTTTGTTTAAGGACAAACAAGGTTTTCTTTTCAGGAATATTGTCTTGCAACAATGACCTTTTTTTCCACAATCCTTAGACAATTAAATGTAACAAAACTAAAAAAAAGCCCTTTTTTGAGCAGTGCTAGATTAAAAATAGTGTACTGCACATAACAAGTGCACATTTTATTCTGTAATTTTTCCTGTTCAAAATGACACTAAAACTATGATTCTGGTACAGAGCATTGAAATGTTATTTACAAATGAAATACATATTTTTTTAAATTTTGAGCATTTTTCAAAGTAAAAAGTGTAAATATATGTTAAAGGTGTAAAAATATTAAAGCAAAAAACAAAAAATATTAATTTTTAATAGTTTATAAAATAGAAAGGAACAAAAAAAATCAGCAGGAAAATAATTAAATAGGAGGAAATAAGGATAAGAATTAAGGCTGATTAGAGTAAATTAATGGTTAATAAGGGGTTAAAGGGAGAAACATTTAATAAAAAAATTTTTTTTTACTTGACAGGTTGCTTTTGAAAAAAATATTTTCCATTGTTATTACATTCATGGCGATATACAAGGTGTGGCACAATAGCTGTACCCAGGGGCGGACTGACAACTCATGGGGCCCCTATGTCCTTGCCCAAACTCAAAAAAGCCTATGAAAAAAGGTACCAGGGGCATCTCATGGGGCCCCCTACTGACCCCGGGCCCTCGGGCAGTGCCCGAGTTTCCAAATGGTCAGTCCGCCCCTGGCTGTACCCTATGCATGTGTTTGCATTTTTTGGGTGTGTACAATTTTTTTTTTTTTTTTGTTTTTTTTTTTTTTTTTTTTTTTTTAACTTTCATGCTCTTACAAGGGAGCTAAGAAGGCCTCGATGTGAAACACCCAGACCTGTATAAACAATTTACAAAATATTGTGTATATCTCTATGCAAACAATAAACAGTGTTAAATCAATGAATAGTCAAACTTAAACAAAAAAGCTCTTACACTATATAAATAGTCCACAAAAAACAGTCCAACGAAATTGCCCAATAAAATAAATAATAAATTAATTCCTGTGTACGGTGTCTGTATTTCACCCTTGTGAAAAAATAAATATACATTTCTAGAGCTCCTTTCCACTGTGCTCATGTGCAAACACTCCACACTCACCAGAATGAATTGACTGTAATGGAATGCACCAGAGTCAAATAGCACTTGCTGATGTGACCATACACCAATACATAAAAGGTGGGGAGAAGCCTGCATCATCACCCAACCATCAGCTTTAGCCTGGGAATATCACTTTAAGAACGTTCAAATTGATGCCACTTATCCCACTAATGCCTCCAATGGATACACTAAAACCTATTAATAGGAGAGAGGCAGAAAGGAGAGATCTCCCATAGTGTAAAACCATTTATTGCCAACCATATGTAAAATAATTTCACTTACAACTGTTTAGAAGACCAGCATGTATATGGCAGTTGGATGATGCAGGCTCCTCCTGTGATAGCATTGCGTGGGTAACAGGTCCTCTGTATGGAGACCTCAGGGGTCTATTAGACCCCTAATGTCTCCTCTGCTCTCAACTTTAGCTAATCAAGCACAGATCGTGCTTGATTAGCTACTTCCCTGGCCACAGCATCCAGAGTTTGCTGCTCTTAAGCCACAAGATCTTAGAGCTGCTCACTTCAGGCTTGCATACACAGCAGAGGAGATCAGGAAATGGATGTTCTCCTGTCCCCCCAGCTTGCCTTTCTGGACCCCTTTTTATGTTCCCAGGCCTCCCGGTAGAGGGTAGAGCCCAGGAACCATGGAAGGGATGCATAAGATCATAAGCACTGTAGATATGATTAGCGGCTACATAGCTGTCCAGATCACATTTACATTAAGGCTGGCTGTAAAAAATTAAAAAAATAAAAAACCTCAGCACTACTGCACTTTCTTGTGTGATTCTGTTCTTGCAACCTGCCTGTCATACGGCAATAGGTGATGAGTTATACACAGGATTTAGAAAGATGACCTGTGCTTGCATTGGTACAGACATATTGGAAAAAGGATATCTTGCTAGTAGGAATAGATTTGGTTAGTATGAATTGTTTCTAATAAATACTTTTAATTTACAGAGAGCCCAGAAGAGAGCGATAGGCCAAGTAATCATGCAGCAGGTATGCAAGCCTTTTATCAATGCACACTCTAAGCATTTAAGGGCCTGTCAACATCATACACATTACATTTTGATTTTACAGTACTGAAGTTCCAAATTTTGGCCATTGTACTACTGTGTAATTGTTTGCAACAAGTTTAGTATTGCTAGTTTCAGTGCTTTTATATATGATTATTATAGTGTGTTCAAGACAAAAATAAACAATTTACAAATATCTTTTTACATTTTGTCACATTAAAAAGAGATATTCCATGCAAATATTTCACATTTACTATTTCCAACTAGAGAATGGACATTTTTGAGTTGTTTTACCTTGCTAAATAAAACTGAAAAATAGTCTGATTACAGTGTGAATAGCTGAAGTCCAGATTACTAACACAGCTGAGAGAGAATCATCTTTCCCCCTTCCTACTATGTTGAGATGCAGCCATTTATATATTTGGCTGGACTCGGAGACCTGCTACTCCCATTTAGAAAACCTAAAATGTTCGCAAAACCTGGTCATTGGTACACTCTGTATCAAATATCTATTTCTAAAACAAAAAATATTTTTTTTTCTCCCTCCGTATGCTATTGTAATAAACCACCAACAATCTTCGTGAAGGATGCATGTGTATTAAGGATCCCATCAAAAAATTTTTAGAGATTCTTTCCAAAAACCTTGTTTTTTCTGCCTGGCCCTGCATTGCAATCTGCCTTGGCTGTGACACTAGTCTGTCAACTTTAGTAGATTGAGCTGGGACTATGAGTAGATATCCTATTACCCTCTAAACGGATCCCCTGTTTGTTTTGCTTTTAGAGCCAATGTTGGCATGCCTATAGATTAGTGAATGTCTCCTGCACATACCCTTCGAGGGACAAATTCCCTTGGCTGCCTTAGACATCACTATAAAGATGTCACAGTTTGGGATAAGAGCACACCCAACAGAAGAAGCCTAGCTCACCCTGTCTCCTCCGAGGCCAAAATGGTTCCTTTCATTACTCCCAGGCCTCAATCTCAAAAGCCTGACCCAAGCCAATGCCCATTTCAACTGCAAAGCTTGATCTTTCAGGTCCCCCATTTACTAATAAATTTTACTTGGCAAAGGAATACCCCCTTTTTCAAAGTGTGTAAGTGTCGTTTGCATTTTCAATTACCTGGATAAGACAGCTATGCTGCCTTGAAGTGATTCCCAGCCCACAAGCTAGAATTCTGCTCTCAGCCTCCATCCGGTTCATGTCTTCCAGCTTAATTAATAATAAAATAGTGGCACTAAACCAACAGTGTGTGAAACCTTGAAGTAAACTCTCATAACAAATATAATTCAGTGAAATTCTGTGCTGAATATACTCATTAATATAATATAAGGAGCAACAAATAAAGATGATCATTAACCAAAGTATATATACATTGTCGTTCATCATCAGCATAATGATGGTGTAAATTCAGTAGCTAAAAACAAGTCCACTTCTCGTGTTATACATTTGTGATGCTCTTCTGTGATATGTGAGATAGGACTGGATGCAGTGCACTGATGATCAATCATGACTCTCACCTTTTGAGTAGGATCTTAAAACAAGCCATAGATGATGCAGTTTTCTTTTATGCAACCATGGGTTGCAGGAAAAATAATCTTGTTTTCCCCCATAAACACAGTCCGTGTTAATGGGGAAATCCTTCCTACAGCATTGTGTTCTGCCAGTGGGGAGGCTTCCCTGCTGGCAGAACTCAATGAATACTGCTAACTGCTATAGCTGCCTGAAGTGATCGCAAGTAAAAAATCCAACTAGCCTGTCCGTAGATGGAATCTTGACCTGTCCCTGCTGAACCCAGCTAAGATTTGGTTCTGTTATGGCCGGGTTAAGATTATAAAAGGTCACATTAGGCATCCCCTAGAAACAGTGTTAATCACTCTCTACAACTAGTGTGCTGTCTTCTGCAGTTCTCTCCACAAATAAGACACCATGGTGGGTGCAAATGGTATCCCTCTTCCAGGCAGATGAAAGCCAGCAAACCCAGTGATAATCAAACAATCGGAGGGATATAAATGCAGACAAACTCAGTGTTTGTTTTTAATAAAACATTCACAAGTGCAACCTTTATTCTGCACCTGATATCAGTAGCTTGAAAAGTGATGACAGATGGGAAAAATATATAAACTGCAGGGAGCTTCCGCTGCTGTTTCCCAGGCATGCATATGTCTATCCCCTCCCACTGACTGTGTCACTCAACTCAGTAGAATGAACATATATATATGTGTGTGTGTGTATGTATATGCTATATATATTTGTACCCAAACAATAGTTAGGAAAACCTGTACTAACTCCCACCATCTCTTCTTTGTCTTTTTAAGCATATTCCCTAAAACCCATTTATACACAATCTGACATTTTCACATAAGCACCCTGCACAACTGCCATTGATCTGTTGCAGAGATATTTAGACAGCAACCAGCTGTTCCACTTCAAAGTAAAGCTAGGCTGCAGAATTTAGCACAGCCTATTTCTGCTTTGGCTAACTTAAAAAAAAAAAAAAAAAAAAAAAAAAAACACCAGATTTTTTTTTTTTCCAAGAAGAAAATCCTTAAATGGTCATAACTGCAGTTTTAATGCACCCATCTTTCCCTTAAGCAACACATATTTGGTTTTCCTTTGCTGCCTCGCTTCTTCATTCAGCTTCTATGAAAGAAGAAGTAAGAGACCCTGTATAAGCTCCCAGTGACATGTTGTTGTTGTTGTAGTTTTTTTTCTGCATATGGAGAAAAGTGGAAAATTCCCTTTTTTTAAGTAAATAGGTTCCTTGTCCATGCAGGGCAAAAAAATAAGTTTCTCTTTAATGCCCTACCTCAGCACCACATAACTTTTCCCTCTCTACTACATCACTCTAGCCCCTAGGAATAAAGAAGGAATCCTTGTCTAAGCTTCCTGTCACTGTAGTCATGTACTGAGGAATATTTATCCAGTTCCGGTGAAAGACTATTCCATATTTAGGCTTCATGCACACTGGGCTTAATAAAATGCTGCTCCTAGATGAGTTTAGCGTTTTGCCTGTAGAAGCTTATCTATATTCCCATCACACACATTCCTGGAAATATGGCTCAACAGTGGTAGGTGCTGTAGCGACTACCAGCTGGGACTGGAAACATCATCTCCAATATGGTTCAAAGAGGTCTTTATTGTAAAAAAGATCACATCACAAAAGAGTGCAACGTTGCGAAGCCCCGCAGGATCCCTCTTCGTCAGGCATGTGGTGTGTGATGATGCCTGATGTGTCATCACATGCCTGATGAAGGGGTCCTGCGCAGCTCTGAAACGTTGCACTTTCTTTTGTGATGTGATCTTTTTGCACTAAAAACCTCTTTGAACCATATTAGAGATCCAGGGTGTGCTGGTGAAAATGTACATTTGCCTGTTATCCTCTGTGTCCATGCACATTGGGTAGTCCAGAGGCATTTTTTAAGTTCAGCGTTTAGAGTCAGAAAGAAAAAAAAAAAAAAAAAACTTTTTTTTTTTTTTCCTTGCATTTTTGAGAGCATTTTTTAGCAGGAAAAAAAAAAGCTAGATGCTCCTAGACCCTTGTAAAAACAAATAGCTCACAATGTGTTTTTGTAAAAAAAAATTTAAAAAAAGCACTGGCATTTTTCTTGTTTCAGTCAAACAAGTTACATTTTTGCAAGAAATACTTGTATCAATATTTATATTTAAGCATCAACCTGTGTATGCTTACAAACACTTTACTAGACCACTGGCATTTTTTTTCCCTGTGATCTTCTAGGACACCCAGATCATTCTGTATTTCATGAAATCGCCACTCACTAACCCTATTGTATAAAAAAAAAACTTGTATTGTAACTGTACTGTCCCCCTTTGTAAAGTGCTGCGCAAACTGTTGGCACTAAATCCAGTATAAAAATAGTAATTTAATTTTTGTTTTTTCAGAACAAAACACAGTGACATCTGAGGAGCCCCATGAAGATCATGCAGGTAAGCAATTTATCAGTCTAAACTAAATTAAACTAAAATGTCTAAAAGCAGATATAAAAACTGGGTCACCATAGTGGTCAAAACGTAAGTGACACAATGTAACGATGGCTTTTGCTTCCCCTTGTCAGGACACCACTGTGTAAGGCCTAGCTAGAAACAGGCTTTTGGGAAAATTACAATGAAAGTTATTTTTTTTCATAACTAAACAATCAAGGGAACTTTTAGGCAATCATTTTATATGCATTTTAGGCTCCATGCACACTAGTGTTTGTTTGTTTTTTTTAAGCTAAAAAAATACTGGAAAAAACACTGGATAAAAAATGCTGGTAATGGCATATTTAGTAGCGTTTTAGGAGTGTTACTGTTTTATTAGCATTTTCACAGTACATGGAGAAAAAAAAAACTGGAAAAAAAAGCTGTTAGTAGCGTTTAGGTTTTTTTTTTTTTCTGGTGGAAAAACACTCTAAAAAAAAACTCCACAAAAATTTTTTTTTCTGCTCCTAGAAGATGGAAATCAAAGAATGCTAATAGCCTAAAGTAGTGTGCATGGACACAGAAAAAATTGCTAGTGTGCATGGAGCGCCTTAGGGTAGTCTCAGTTGTTTGTGATAGAACTTAAAGTTGCAGAATTATTTTGCTTAATATAATCAATTTTATCTGTCCATCCTGTCATTAGAAAACTTTTTTCTTTTCTGCTTGCTATAAGGTTGTTTGTGTGAATTTCAGTTCTAAAAAACCGTCGTCCTATCTTCCAGAAAAACACATACTATGATGTCAGAAGCTGCTTAGTCTTTGTAGTGTGTGATAATGTAATGTGGTGGAGGAGGAGGGAATGATGGAAATCACAAAGGGAAGAGCGCAAAAATTCTGTTAGTGACTTTAAGGCCTTGTTCATATTCATGTACTACAGGGTACTCCAGTGTTAGGGGCTGTGTTACCCTCACAGGGATGCAGAGATGTTTGTGCATCCCCTGCAGGCAGTCCTTTTCATGTCCGCATGAAGCGGCTGCATGAACACAGATTCTGTTCCCAATTAGATATCCATTCAGGGCCGGGAAACCACACGGATGTCAAATTGGGAATAGCGGCTGTGTCTGTGCAGCTGCTATGTCCTAGTTGTTTTGAATGAAATTTATGGTGATGCACAGAACCCCTGTGCAGAAAAGCATGGCCCTTGCATGGGTATATGCTGTAGTATGCCTGTGTGAATGAGGCCTTTTAGGCCTTATAGTAGTCCACTTATGGTAACCTTTATGCAGGCCATACATGGTTCGAATTCCGAACAATTTTTCATCCAAAAATTGAAAACTTCATTTGCGCGGTAATCAGATGGTGCCATCAATGATTTCAAAAATCGGCCAACCAAGTCATAATGTTCACCTTATATTACAGGCAAAACTTCTGTTCCTTCCAGGTCACGGCTCATGCGCATATTCTTTTCGGGAAAATGATCGTACGATTTGACCATCATTGAGTCGAAAATTGGTCGTTTTCCATGAATTTTCCAACATGCTGATCACCGAAAAAGGGAGGAACCACAAAAATCGTCCGGTGCCATTGACCCACTAACAAAGCGAAAATCAGCCGATCATTCTTAGGTCCGATTTTCGGATGAAAAATCGGTCGAATTTCGACCCATGTATGGCTGGCCTTAGTAGCAATGTAGCTTCCGAGGCAGTGCTTATTTTTTTTTTTTTTTTTTTTTGTTAGTGGCCAAGGGGCTCATGATGACTGGTGCTCTTTTCTGCATTGAATGTACAGTATGATTGAAATCCCATAGGACTTGTACTGAGCAGTACACCTGGCAGTTCAGAGGTTGTTTTTGGCCTGATTTGCATTATGCTGTTTCTTTGAAAGCTGCATGTCCTAATACAGTGCATTTGAAGTGCAGGCAAAGCAGGGCAACTGCTGCAGTTCCATATTAATGCAGCTTTGTGTGTTTGAGTAAAAACAGCATTTAAATAGAACGCTTGCATTGTGAATCCTAATAGCTGCTTAACTGGGAGAGGGTTTCTTTGCTTTTGTTTTTTTTGATGATCACAAATTAGACCAGCCTACGTGCAATCTAGGATTACAGCTTTAATCTGCATTAAGTAACATCATAAGAATTTGCTACATCATTCTGGTGATACAATTGCATGTTCCTGATGAAAGATGCCTGTATCAGATTCTGTTGCGTGTCATTCCAAATGTAATGTCTAGTTAAGGCCTGAAACATTACACTCCAGTCTGCTATGGCTTATAAATGATTCCTCTTCTGTTGTCACGCCTAACACTGGAGCATAAATCTATTGACCCATTTTGTAGACAGGAGACTGAACTAATCTGCTCTTGTATGTCACCTGAAGGATTAATCTGGCACTGTTGTGTGGCTGCAAATTACATGAATGCATTTGATGTCTTATTGTGTTCTGGTAGTTAATGAGGCTGCTGTCTGTCTCCAAGGCTAGCAAATGGATGTTTCTCTGTCCCAGAGGAAGCTTCATTTTCTTCCCAAGGGTGGGTATTGTGTTTTACTCTAGAGATAGATTGCAGTGCTGCTCCTCATATGTGACAGAGCAAGAGTGGTGATCATAGGCATAAACTATAATAACTATTGTGGTTGACAGAGAATCACAGCCTCATAAAGTGTGCCAAGCCCACACACTGCTTTTATGTACACAGTGGCTAAATGGTTAGCACTTCCACCTGGCTGTACTAGGGTTGTTGGTTCAAATCCCAACCACAGCACCATCTGCCTGGAGTTTGCATGTTCTCCCTGTGTCTGCGTGGGTTTCCTCCGGAAACGCTGGTTTCCTCCTACACTCCAAAGACATGCTGGTCGGTTAATTGGAAGCTGTCTAAATTGGCCTTAATATGTGTATGTATGAATGTAAGTTAGGGAGCTTAGATTGTGCGCCCCTTGAGGGTTAGGGACTGATGTGAATGTACAATATATATGTAAAGCACGGCATAAATTGACAGCACTATATAAGTACCTGAAATAAATAAATAAATGTGCAAAATTACACTGACTAGGTATTTAAGGTAACATTACGAGCCCTAAAATAGCCCAAGTCTAGGTGGAGAATAAAAACCTGCAGTGGGGTCCCCTGTGCTGCAGGGGAAAAAGACTGGTTTGGGTCTAGGGGAGCTGAAGAGGATTTAATATTTACCTTAACCCCCCATTTTGGCGTGCTCTACTTCTCCCTGATGTTGTGGGCTGTAGACGGTTCCTCAGCGTCATCATGCACAGTGCGGGGCTATTAACCCTGCATTGTATGTAGAGGAAGCAAGGTTGAGTGCCTGTATTCCATAGTCTATTCAGCCTGAGACAAGATGCAGGCTATGCTTGAGCAGGGGACATGTTCAGAAGGCATACTGTGATTGAGAAGGGGGTGTGTGTTGGAAGCAGGCTGCGATTGGTTGAGAGGGGGGGGGGGGCATGGTGACTGAGCAGACTATCCAATACAGGCAAGCTGTGTGTCTGTACAGTGTTCTGCACCACTGAATGGCCAGCCAAAGTATCAGCTTCTGTGCTTTGCGTGTTCTGTTTACAACAAGGAAGAAAGGTGACTGGCAGGATCCACCAGATACTATAAGAAAATCGCACAAAAATGTACGTACGAGGACCGATCATCCAATAATCAGATTGTTAGTACACAGCTTTTGAGAGCTGATCACGACAATTCGTGCGACAATATCCGAAGGGACAAGCGTGAAATTTTTTTCTCATACGATACCAGATCATACGATTTTTGTTTAATCAGTACAGTAGTCGTCCGAAGATACAATACATGCTATCACTTTCGAAATTCTTTTCTTTCATAGGAGAATTTTCATATCTTTAGTAACCTTTTGACTTTTGATGTAAGACTAGCAGGCGTAAAAAAAAACAGGCGATCGTTCATCCAATATTCTCATTGTGTGTACGGGCTTAAGATTTCTAAAATACACTTATGTGAACACACATTAGAAAACAAATATTTAGGGTAACATAAACTTTAAACTAAAGAGGAAGTTAAATGTAGTCTTTCACTGAGCTTAGTAGTCGGGATGATTGTTTTGAACAAAGTTAATTGTTCACATGGAAATTGGTAAAGTAGACCTATACTCAAATAAAGACAACGATGTAAACAGTCTTGCAAATGTTAACTAGGTTAAGTGTATATGTGAATGCATTGTAATCATGAAGAGTATAAACACAGGTAGATCTGAAGATTCTTGGACAAAAAAAATTCAATCTACAATATACATTTATTGATAGGGTTGCAAAATATTTGAAAATAACACACTAAACAATATGTACAGCACATATATGGTGGATTATGATCATTACAATACAATGTACAGTACAAGTATGGAATTAGTTTACCTCTCGGCTCCTGATTTGGTCATACTAAGTACTTGTGTGTCCCAGAACACAGAGCACAGCTTGCTAACAATTTATTATATACCCCTCACCCCCCCCCCCCCCCTTTTCTATATGGTGGCTCATATAAGGTACCCCAATTGGTCACTACATCTAGTAAATATATATGTGGGCACCACCTTATTGGGAGGATCTGAATAAGGTTGTGGTTTACAACCCATCTGTGATGTGACAAGCAAGCAAAACAATGGCCAAGTCTTTGACGTAGAGAGAGTCACAGTAACACTAGTTGGGAATCTGGGAGTGGAATATAATGTGGGGGGAGCACACTCAATGATTTACATACATTTTATTCCCACGTATCACAATACGTATTTAAATATATTACATAAGTAACACTTTATATGGTAGCACTAAAATAGATGATTCAAGCATAATAAAAGGTCAGAAGTAGTTGGTATTCTTTAAAAAAAACAAAAAAAACAAATCTAATCAGAGGTGCTTTTAGTGCAGATTGCATAGCTAATACCTATTTATCAGGTTAGATAATCCTTGTTGAAGGTGAGAATTAGTGTTCATATGGGCTTGTGCTTCTGTTCTGTTCAGAGATCAAGTGACCAAAGGTTTGGTATTGCTACTGTGCTAAAGCGGAACTAAACTGTATCTGAGAACCACAAACTAAATTTATTTTAAATTTATTTAAATTTTTTTTTTTTTTTTTAACTCTTTGGTGCCAGCTGCCTCCTGGCCCTTTTAAGGGTTCTAAAAACTGGGAGGGGGGCCTTCAGGTCATGTGACTGCTGCGATTGGTTGCCACAGAGATTGCATGATCAAAAAGTTCCCGATCGCAAGTATGCACTGGGAGCTTACCAATCACCGCCAGCTACCGTGCAGGGAGAACGCTCTTAGCACAGTAAGTAGTTTTAACAGGGTCGCT